GATACACCCTGACTCATAGGGTCAAAAATTCATCTCAGTTTCAGAGGAATGCACACAGATGGTTAGACTTTTCTGAATCCAGACAGGTTAATTTTCCGTATCTGTTTTCAACCCACAAGAATTATCTGGGAAACTCAAGGGAATAAGGCCTCACTGGAATATCAAAGGCTTTGGAAAACAGAATTAAATGTGATTGCCTACAGTGATGCTATGGAAGCACTCAATACAGCTGCAATGTTATTTCAGCACTGTCCTTTTTCTAGCTCGGAGCTATTTTTGACTAAACAGGCAAGAACTTAACCCCTTCTAGAGCAATTCATATGTTCACATGAACCTTCAAACTCTAGGTCTGCTGCAGGTCACAAGAGGTCCACTGGTCATAAATTACAAACAACGGACTCAGCAGTTTTGTTAGACACGTTTCTATTAGCTATGTGTGACTCTACTGGTGATAGAGAAACATGACAGTAGAGAAAGAGGTCAAAAGAATTCAGTTTGTGAAGCCTATTGGAAGTGTTAATCTGTGGCCAAACAGTAAATTCAGAAAGCCTACGTTTTGCTGGGAAGAGAAGATTAGACTTTCAGTTGACCTTTGCGTGTGTTTAGAGTACAATCCTAAAAGGCGACACTTAGATTTTGCAGTTCTAATACATAGGAGTAAATTTACAGAACCGTCTCCTGAAAACATTGCAAACGGGATACAGGTCAAATGTGTGCACAGGTCCCCAGTGCTGTTCTAAATAGCCTCGGACACCCTGTCTAGCTCCAGCTAGGGAGGGCATTAGTTTCCGGCATGCCCTGTATCATACGTGCCAGCCCTACACAAATGTTGTGGTTGCTTCAGAGAATCTGAAATGCAGCATGGTACCTATGTTTAGGCAACTGAGTCCTTTTTTGAATGATTTAACCCCAATCTCTCACACAAGAAAAGAGGGAAAAAACAAAAGAGAGGCCGGAATTACTTAACAGGCTAACTGATGTATATGCCGAAAATATGATACTCAAATTAATGGAAAACAGTGGCAGACCTTGAGAGAAAGAATACACTTCAGAAACTTAAAAAAAGAGTCTCTTAACGTAGTTGGACAGGTAGAGCCAGTGAAAAAGAAGAGTCTCATAGTGCGAGTCTGAAGTCCTCTAAAAAGATTATATAATAATGTATGCAGTATATTTATGCCAGGGCACGTGAAGCATAGTAAGATGCCTATTTCAGAAATGATAGCTCCAGTTGAAATGTGCTAAGATGAAGAACTTCTCGGAACTTCTACTGATTCAAATTCTTTTAAGAAGCTATTAGAAAACTGACCTCAAATGCTGTATGAATTATAATATGTAAATCTTGCTATTAATAAATATTTGGCTTACCTTATGTGATAATCATCACACTTTAAAGCCTTCAACAAGATGGAGCACCTTTCTGAAGAATATCTTTGCCTGTATCTTATGCCCTGGCCTTCCAAGTCTACCAAATCTTCTTTCTAAAGGCACTGTAACCCCCTCCCCCTGCTCCCCCCAAAACTCCCCAAGAAACTGATTTTTAGATGCATTGACCTACTCTGGCCATTCCAACAGTACTAGTGAGCTAAATTTTATTAACAGAAACTCAAAAAAACAAAACAAAAACAACGAACTTCAGAATTATCCAGTATCTGATTCCACATCTCTGCAAGGTTCTAATGGTCTCCAGCTAGCTAAATTAAAAATAATATACAAGTGGCAACTCAATACAAGAAGCTGTGTTTTGTAGAAACAAGCATTTCCAAGGCGAGACAAGTTGATTAAGAAGATTAGTGAAGTCATTTGATGACGGAAAGAAGCAGAAAAGTTGAAGCTGGTTCAAAATAGGGCCACAATAATAGTTCAAGGCTTTAAGAAAACGCCTTACAGCAAGATTACAGCAAGTTCAGTCATTGAAACTGTGGAAACAAAGGGCAAATGGTAACTTAAATACAGTCTATAAACACCTATAAAAAAAAAAAAAAAAAGGGCAAAAAACCCAAAAAGCCCCAAAGAGAAAAGATTTCTATTCTAAGACAAAGGTGTAATGTGATGTAGTGAGTAGGAACAGAAACTAGAAGAAAAAAGTCAACTGGAAAAGAAAAAAAAAGAAATCTTTTTTTGGAAAAATGACAACTTCATGCACCAGTTAGAAGGAACTGGGCTAGATTCTCTATTCATAGTCCTCAAACACTACAAGTTTTCCTGAAATATAAACTCTAGCTTGGTCACAAGTGATGAGGCTCCAAGTGAACAATATTGTGTAAAAGTCAATCGCACGTTTCATGCAAGAGTTTGGATTAGATCATCATAATGGTCCCCTCTGGCAGTATAATTCATGGATTCTTTGCTTGAACACTACATTGACTTGTGCCTAACCGAACAACATACATTGTTTATATACTCAACATCTTCAATTACACAAAATAGTATTACAAATGAGTACAATATTTTACTGTATCTTTGTATAATTTTCTTTAAAAGATAAATAATTAAGATACATAGACATTAAATGAGCAAGTAAATATTTTTTAATCAGATAGGAGACTATATTTATCTTAATTTCGCAGATTCGCCAGCTTTTATAATGAGTTTAATCTCAATAATCAATACAGCCTTGTTTTTTGGCACTGTAGCTATTCAGTTGTCCTCTTGAAGCCTTTTCCATCTGCACTATTACTTCTGTATCTTTCATGCAGAATTTTACATTAGAAGAAAGTTCTTTCCCATCACAGCAAATACATCACTCTTGATTTCTCAGATTAACCAGCTGATGAACTGAATACAACTTCCACTTCCTTCCATCAAATTACAGCGTAGCAATACAACTGAAACACAAGATTTCCTCTTCACAAAAAATGCAAGTGAAAAACAGATAGCATAAAACATACTGACGTTGCTCTAAAGCTACTATTTTGTTCTCTAAAGTTTTAATTCATTCACATCTCCAGTAATCTCTGCTCCTCTCCTCCCCTCCCCCGGCATCGTTTTTTGCTTTCTGTACTACACAAATTGTTATGACTGAGAACTCAGGAACCAAAATTAGGTATTACCAAAACAGTGACACATCTCCCAAGAGTTAATAATAAAGCACTTGTAGTGCTGCTGTCCCCTTCATCTCATGATTTATTTGGCATCTCTCACAAGCGGAGACAAACTTGCAGATAGACCCTGGCAGTATAAACCCATCCTCTTCCCATATACGCTCCTGTATAACCACCAATACAGACAACTGGAACTCGGGGCAAATTCACACTCCCTAAGCCCACACATTTGTCCTCAATTAGGGCCAAGAGGTACACAAAGAAGATAAGCTAACTAGTAAGAAGGCACTACATAAAAAATTCCTCTCTAAAGACAATTCCTCCCCCTCCATGATTTTTCTGTCATCAAGACAAAGTAGCAAAGACCTAAGAAGCTGCTGGGTACTCCCTGCTGTAGAGTGCAAGAAAATGAAGATCATCTTTTCTGCCATTAAATGTTGTTATACTCAGCAAGAAGTAACTTGTCTAAGTAGGAGATAACTTTCCTGTATAGTTAGCATGTGGCAATGTGGAGCGGGGTGGGAGGAGGGTAGAAGAGTGAGAGGGCATGCAAAACAAGAGCAAAACTTGTTAGCTAGTTATTCGTTATTTTCACTTACCTGTTTAACAATTAACTCGTTAAGTTGCTTTCTGTTGCTTTCACTCTTCCCCCATCCCTCCCACAAATCTTAATTAAAGCATAAAATTTAAGTTTACTGTGTGCATGACTGCTTTTGGATAGAGGTCCACATAAATGAAAAGTATTATTTTTTTTTTGTCTTATTAAGTGCTGCAGTTTTCCTAAAAGAAAAAAGGGGGAGGGGCAACAAAAGTGAAGCAAGCTAACTTTCCAGTTAATCGTGTTCTTAGCTCTTCAGCTAAACGTTCCTAAGGTTAGATCACAACAACACATGAAATTCCACATATGCACCTTGAATGGAGAATAGTTTTCACCCTTTCAGAAAGATGCGTAACATTTTGTTGCAGATAGAGATTTCCTAGTAGAAACTATATTTCTGTTTTGCACTTGCTGGAATGACACAGCTTGCTCCAAATTACATGTGGGGAGCCCCCCCTCTGAAAACCTCGTTTTTCCCTTCAGTTTTTTTTTTTTTTTCCTTTTTAAAAGTGCTATCTGCAACAATGAGTCATCACCTACTGCAGCACAACATCCTGTTCTTTCCAAGTCTCTGCAGCCCTTTAAAAGAAAAGTATGGTCTTTTAATGACACATACAATTCCCTGCATTGCTAGGCTGCAAATTATTTTCATCTCACTTAATGAAACTACCTGCAAAAGTGAGAACAGAAATTCAGAATTTTCTGTGAGTCTCAAGAGACAGAGATTTTTAACATCAGTATTTTCCTCATCCTTACTCATTTGGCTCAGTAGTAGATAACCAATTTAATATCAGAAGGAGCAGATTGTTCCAAGTTGTTTACAGTAGCTTTCCTAGGGTACTTTAAGGGTTTAAAATATTAGGGTCTCGATTACTATCCTAATAAAACGCTTTCTGATTATCTCTTTCAGTTTGCCAAAGGTGTGGCAATGTTCAATTTAACATAACTAAATGCACTAAAGCACCATGTGACATTTGGTTTCAACTGCAACTCAGAAAAAAAATTGTGTGTTAGTAGCACAGCTGGAGACGCTTCTTTTTTTTTTTTTAAAAAAGACATTTCTTGTTTTATTATCTCCTGCACTGCTTTCAATATTATTTCCCTGCTATGCCCCCACAACAAACTTCAGCAATTCGGCCTATGAAACCAACATACTACAAAAAAATTAATCAACTGAAAAGACTTTTCTCTCATTTGACAAAGTAACTTTTCTGATTTCTGCTCTTTTCTGGGATATACACAGATCATGAAAGTTACCCTGTTTTATCTTGCTCATTTGCTTATATTGTAGGCAAAGTTTTATTTTCCAGGCTTATAAAACAAAGAATAAGTGGCAATAAGAAAAACTGCATTTGTCTCACCTGCTTAGGAGTCACCCCAGGCATGCGAATGTCCAGTGCAAAATCTGACAGACCAAGTGAAATCACTGGCCTGTTGCTTCCAAGGCATTCATTGGAAAGAGACCTAGTAGTATCTTTATACCTTAAAAAGAAGAAGGAAAGATTTCAAAAATACTGACTTCCGTTAATATTTTTCTAAAAGGATGGGGCTTCAGAAACAAAGTTTGACAACTCTGAGCCACTCCAGAAGAGATTTGGGAACTTCAGTCCTTTGGGAGCTCAGGAAAAACATCTTAGTTATCAAGCATGCTTTGAAGCAGTTCCTATGAACAATCTGATAGACTAGCTTGGAAAACATTAGCTGAAAAGTAACAAAATACTAAATGCAACCTGTCAGCTCATCTAAATAGCAGTCTGAGATCCAGGTGTGCACAGATAAAGAATTAATTCACAAAAATATTTCTAATACTGTTAATTATTCAGGACTTTCTTTTTTTTTTTTTTTTTAAAGAAAAAGACTACACATCTGATGTAGAATTTGATATAGATTACATCTAAATTATGTGCAAAGGGGAAATTTTTAATTCCAAACGCTATGACACTAACAGCAAGTCTATCTTCCCATTAGATGCCAACAAAGTAAAACAGTAAGTTTTACAGCTTCACATGATTGTTAAAGAGGTCTGTATTGAACGCAACATAAAATAAAAGAAAAAAATAGATCACTATGAAGAATAATTAAATAGTAAAACATCTGAGACGATGCAACCCTAAAATAAATTTTGAATAAACATATATAAATGACATGGTAAACTACAGTGCAGAATGCATCTCATACACAATAACATATTTCTTTGAAGAGCTAACAGGCTATTTCTCTCATATGTGCTACTTTCAAATTTGTCTATGCAACTTTACATTCAAGACTCCAGAAACCCCCCAGAATTCTCTCACTTTAAGCTAGTTAATGCTTTCTCATTAAAGCACATCAGTTTATACTGCAAGCTGACAGGGGTAGGTGACATATATTTACTGACTGTGTAAAGTCTCAGGTACACCTGCAGGGTTCTACAAAAATTTATATTAGTTACCATTTAATCATTCTAATACAGAAAACTCACATCTCAGAGAGCAACCTAAGGGTAAAACAATGGACGTCGTCTTTCACGTGACAAAAGAATGCCATTTCAAAATTACAGAAAAACGGTGCAGAATAAGGGAGCAAAACTCAACAAATATCATACACATTTTTAGCGAGGACATACTTTGTCATACTTCCATTATATAAAATAACAGATGGCAGCCCTAAGAAGCATGCATTCAAAACACAAGGTCTTCCTGCATAACCCACCTCTTGAAGACAGAAAGTGGGCTCCTGAAACCCAAACAGCTGTTTTGAAAAACAAGGAGTATTAGCAGGTTGTTAAGGAGGCCAGCCATGTCCACCCTGCTGTTCCTGGCCCGATTAAGGGAGCAGAAAAAGGGCAGCGCAGCTCTCAGCTGTGATCCTGACAATTAGGCAGCAGCAGCGATATCAACTCACTACTTCATTATTGTGTGCTCTGCAGGCATCCTACAGCTTTTGACAGACCATCTGTCTTGGAAGGTGATGCACTGTAAATCAGGAAGGTGGATGATGCTATGTTGCCTTTATTATTAGCTGTAAAAATCTGTTGAAGAATCTTCCCTTGCAGATAGATGACACTGTACTTTCGTCCACTTAAGGAGCTCAAACGAAGTGGCACTCCTGATGCTTTCTCCCTGCGTCGTACAGTGAAATCTGCAGGTTACTTATCAGCCCTCAGTGACAGAGGCTCTAAGTGGCATCACCGAAACCCACGTCAGTCATCCTTCAGAACCTGTAAAAATAGAAGCAGATAAAGGATGACTAACACATTACAGCATTAGTTCTCAGCAAATCCCTGCTGAGCCTTTCTAATACATAGTACTTTCACAAGCTTTAGCCCAGCCCAGTGAAGAATGCACCAAGTCGGTTGATTCCTCCCTCTCCTCCCCTCCCATCCATAGAGACAGGGAGACCGACGTGTTTAATATTGATATGCAAAGCTCCCACTAGAATTCCTATTCTGCAGGGTAGGAAAAACATCAAAAGCCCTAACATACCAAAGCCAACGCCTGGAGTATTTCACACATACAAACTGTAACCTGTCCTACAAGCAGCACAAAACAAACCGCCCACCCAAGAACCACCACCCACTCGGCAGGGCAAGAAACAAGATTTCTAAATGCTATCAGCTAAGACTAAACCTTTCTGCACCTCTCGCAGGCTGAGAGAATATCTTACTTTTAATATAACTGGAAATCCTGGAACAAAAACTACTGGGATCAAGTATACTGCTTTATATATTAGTTGAATACTATTTTTATCCTTTATCTATTAACATTACTTCAGCTTAAGCTGTTACTCTCCTCACTGCGTTAATTAACTTTAACCTTACCTGCCCTTACATTTCGTTTGAGCCGATTACTCTTTCCAATTTCTAAACGTTTTCAGAGGTTTTGTAAGCATGCTAAAAAAATAACACTGCAGTAACAAGTGTGCTACCAATGACATATACTAGTGTTTTCAATAAGCACGCCAATTCTGGTAGAAGACAAATTTCAGATCATAAATAAGATGAACATCTTTTAAACGTATTACTTAGCAATTCTTATAAAAATAAATACTTAAGACGACAACAGTAACAACAGAAAATATCTTCTAGTCCCTAGAAAACATAGTCAAAATACAAATAGAGAATAAAACAGCAAAGGAGGATTTTGAAATGACACAGAATTTAAAATATCACATTTAAGTACATCACTTCCACCTCCAAGCGAGAGCACATGCACTGAAAAGGCTTCTAATGAAACGCAAGTGCTCATACCGACACTAAAAGCCATGCTGGCAACTCGCCAGTTGTTTGGCGGCTATACTAGATTTGCATTCAAGTATTCATAAAAGATATACATAAAAAAACTTGATGATATTAATCATCATTAAACTCTGATATTTTATTAATTTAAGGATGACGCAAAAGATTCGGTCACAAACAACTAAACAGACTTTATCTTTTGTTTTCAGCTTGTCAAGAACGGGCCAAAGCTGTCCAAAATCATTCATGCAAGTAGAGATGCAAGATTCATTCTTTTCATTTACCTAGAATTGAATGTTTTTATTTGTGTGACCTATTCATCCATGAATAAAGTCAAATTCAGAAATGAATTCTGAGATATTACAATACGCTATGATTCGATTATTTGGTTTCTATGCAACAGCTTTGAGGGGGTTTTTTCCCTACTCTTTTTTCTCCAATATTCTTTTCTTTTAAATTAGTTGCAAGCATAAAATGGCTGAAGCAGTGTTTTGTGTTTCCCCAGACCCCCTAACCAACTTCCCAGCTATTTAGCTCTTCTCTTTAGTTGGGGGGGCCGGGGGGGAATGCACAAAATAGAAGTGGCAAAGAAACCCTAAGACTTGAAACCCCATTTAACACACTGACTAAACAGTATCAAACTAGGAGGTGCTGATACTTAGCAGTTATGCTTTCTCTCACAGCACATAGGGTAAGCCCATTCGACATGCAAGAGCTCCGAAGAACAGAGGCAGAGGGAACCAACTACATTCTAACATGCACAGAGTTACAAAATTTTCCCCTTGAAGTTTTGGAATCCGAAAAGATATTTTCCAGTGACTGAGAAATAAAAATGTGCTTCTAATTTTGTCCAATTTCGTGAAGTCTGAGATTGTTTATACCAACTCTGTTACAAACATTCTTGGTGTAGGAATTACCAGAAGGAAGCTACCAAGAAACCTGATCATTAATACAGGGGTTTCCTTGCAGCAGCTTTCAATTCTCACTGTAGAGTTAAGCATGGCAACAGTCAGAGCAAGTCACCAGACTATATCTTCATATTACAGGGAACTGTCTGGTGATCCATAGCTTTTAGAAGACTGCTCATAAGTTTAAAAAAAAAAAAAAAGGAACCATCTGACAAAGCAAAGAAATTAAATCTCTAATGAAATCATTACGCACGGACGCCTAATATCTGTATATGTTTTACTTAAATATAGGCCTACTTCATCTACAAGTTTTGTCTTTAACTGCAATTTCATCAACTGGATGAAAATTTTAAATGGATAAAAGTTAAGTATATCTGGTACTTAAGATCAGGTCCTTGCACAACAGGATTTTACATGTGGGTGAAGTAGGGAGAGGAGAGAAAGGTAGCTCAGTCCTGAAGAGATTTTAGTCTAATTTTAGATATGATGCAATGAGCAAGAATACCAGACAGTGAGGGAGAAAATGGAAGATGAGAGTTTCAATAATAAGATTACCCAGTTACTTAGGTTTATTATGCAGACATCTCGATACTACTGTTTTACTTTCAGTTTGGAATAAGAGATCCTGAGGGAGCAGAAGTGAACTAAATAGAGGTGATTAATGACGGAGACTAGAGGATAAGGGAGATAAAAGCACATGCTTACCTTGCCCAAAATAATTTTCATCTATGATGCCCTATCTGACATAAAAAACAATGACAAAAAAGGGGGGCTGGGGACACACAAAACAGCCATCTGCAACTAGTTGGAAGAGATCTCACTGAACAGGTTGAGAAACAAGGTGGCCAAAAAGCTCAAACTCCAAATACAATGCAAAAAAGCATGTAAAACAAAGTAGCAATATTTCACTGTGATTGAAACAAAGTAAACAGCAAGCCTTTTAAAAAGAGTAGTAATTAACTAATCAATTACCAAAAATGAACTACAGATAAAACTCTGTATTAACTACACATCCATAAAGCAGGCTATAACTATTTCTTCTTCTTAGTTTTAGTCATTAGACAATTTTATGGACAGTGCAAACTGAATATATCACAAAGCAGAAACCTCACCTTCAGCCACCACTACCTCCAAATAAGGAGCAAGCAAGCAAATAATGGACTGATGTGAAAGTCTATCACAAGTGGTAATCTCTCACTGATAAATTTTTTCCCTTATGTATCGAAATCATAGAAGCAAGGATTAGATTACTTGGTTCCGTCTTCACCTATAGCACAGAGTCTATATTTCATCTTGGACAAAATTTGCAGCTTGAGCAGCTCAGCTTTGCCATCTTTAGATCACAGGTAATAAAATATGTTTAAATAACCTTAATTAACTTCTCAGCTAAAAAGCAAAGTTCCTAATTTCTCAAAGAATGCTAGTTACCCTAAGGGCGTCTGCTTCTTCCCACACACTTTCCAATCCTAACAATCATCCAGGCCAAAAAAGGATTAACAAGCAACGTCAACAACACCACAGCATACTCCAAATGAAACACCAAAAACTTAACTATCAGCTGAGAAGCACAAGGATACGTGTCAATACAGAAAGGCCATGTAGGTACAGTATAGGAGTACAGTATAGTGAAAAGTTGAAGGAAAAGATGAAAGAAGAAAAATCCCCCAGAAGTCAGAAGAACGTCAGGCAGAAAACTGGACATTGTACTTGTGAACGTGCGAGAAGATAATCTTAAAACAATCCTCCTCAGAGCCATGTATTCAGTTCTCAGAATACACAGACACTATGGCCTGAGGGCATGCCATAGATCTTTGGGAAATAATTTCAAACTAAATCAGCCCAAGCATGACACTGGGTATGATAATCCTAATTTTGGAACATCTGGCTATTGGATTAGCAGCCTGTTTGGTGCCATCCTCAAAAAGAACACCAACAGCTCTGTCTGCAACCCTCCAAGCTCAGGCAGGCGTTAGTTAAGAACTGGGGTAACTACAAGAGAACGTTCCGATTCCCTGAAAAATCAAAATATATCAGAAATGGATCTGTGACATCAGACATTTTTATTTTATAATCAGACTTCTATAATTTTCCTACTTTTAAGTCAAGAGGACATGTTAGTTCTTCATGAATTAATCACACAGGACATCAAAGAAGATGCATGATGGCTGGATATGTAGGCACGTTATTGCACCTTGAGTATACAAAAAACAACCAGTTCAGCTACTGTAACCGGGTTAAGGCAACCTGCTTCTAATAACACAACAAAATCAGTATGCTGTGGGATCAGCTTGGGTCACACTCGTTAATGCACAGACTGCAGCCACTTACGGCACTTTGACCAAAGATGAACACAAAAGGAATCTGGTAACAAGCCAACAAACTAATCCATGTCAGAGCACAACACCAACCAAAGCACCCCACACAGCAGCTGGAAGAGTCAAGGGGCTGGGAGAGCAGCTGTCAAACACAAGCGTTTAATAACCTTTTTCATCAAAAACAAACAAAAACCACCCCTTGGTATAGAGAAAATAGGCACATAAGATAGATGGATCAAGGATTTTTCCCTTGGATTGTGACAGCAGGTGGTGGAAAACTTGTCTTTGCAAACTGAGGTCTCTTTCCTCTAAGGAAAGTGGAGGAAAGTCTTCCCTAGGAAATCTACTTTTGCAGCAGAAAATTTTTTGGAAACCAATGGAGCTATGACTACAAAGAACATGCAGCCCACTTTAATGTCACTATGTAACTTTTAATCTAACATATGTCAGTCAAATGTAGCCCTGTATGCAGAGTTTTGTTTTTTAAATAAATAATCAAGAAAGTTCCCAGTTATGACAATTTTCAACCATTTCAAAGTAAGTGATAGATTTATTAGCTCAGAAAATTCTTTCTTAAAGTTTTGATATGTTGTCTTTGTGAAGAACTGTACTTTCCTTGAGACAAGTTCTTTCTAATTAGCCTTACAGAAAAGTTAATGTTTAGAACATGATCATAAATCCTCCAAAAACTGAGAGGAGTTTATTACAGTAGACGAAGGGGCTTCAATCTGGACTTCTATGGGACTGTTCCTCTAAAAAG